TATATATTAATACCAAGACTGGAAATTTAAATATGACAACAATAATTTTTGGGGAGAAAAATGGAAATATCCTTTTCTTGAGCGAACTAAAAATAATCATGTTAAGCTATTAATTAGATAAAATGGCAAAAGCTTAGATTCAGGAAGTTGATATGAATAAAGCTGAAGAATCTCCGATTTGATTCTTTCGCAATTGGGAATATATGAATAAAGCATATGTTGCATAAATCTCCGACATTGACAAGATAATAAAATATATGTTTTGTAATACAAAGATAATGATCACAAAACACACACACACATATACACACACACACACTCATATTGTAAATTTTATAAATGTATTTGATAAATTAAAATTCTCAAACAATTAGGTTACTGACATTAAAAACCCAGTTACACACGTCCAAATAGTTATAATATACATATATGATATTAATGTGAAATATTTTAATTGTGTTTGTGAAATATAAAAATTCGAGCATCCCATAGTTGTACAGTGAATATATAATATCATAAGTTCTATATTTAAATCTTTGTAATGATTGGTACTCCGTGAAGGTAGATATTAACCCACCAATATATATGTATATTAGATTTATATACATGCTTAGCACATATTAAAATATACGAAATGTAAATGATATACATATATATATATATATGTGTGTGTGGGGGGGAGGGGAGATTCTCGTTCGATTTTAATTTTTCACGATCGCTCGATGTGGATCCGAGTAGGTTCGTACCCCGGACCAAAAGAGTACATAATTAATATATATAAAGTCTGAAGATTTGATTAACATATAAAATCTCTGTTAAGATAGTAATTCCTTTAAATTATTTTTGAAGAATTTATCATATTTTTATTTTTCTGGTGAAATTAATTTAAATATCAGAAAAAAATAGCGCTTTGTAAAGATTTATGAGACAAATCATGATACCATTATCATACAATATATTTCTATAAAAGGATGAATATATCAACTACTATCTTGTGTGTGTGTGTATATATAATATCTGCAAAAAAGAATAACCAGATATTTTTTCATATTTCTAGTCAAAATAAACAGATGATATGTTGGTCTAGTTAGTAGTATGAATCAGTATCCTTAAATCTGATATTAGTTATTAAAATTAATTTATATCAAAATTTGATACTAATTTGATGTACATGACTTTAATAAAACCAAATTGAAATTTTCTCTTTTAGCAATACTGATAATATATATATATATATATATATATATTCGCGATCCTCATAATTAATTAATAATTTGGTATCAATTCATTTTATATTTTATGTATGTGTGTATACTATATTAATCATTAGTAATAATATTTTTTAACGAGATATTTATTAAACAATATATGAAAAGAAATTACAAAGGAAACAAAAATGATTCCTTGGGAATCCCACTTGCTTTGTTAGTTGTATTGGAATCCTAATTCGAGAGCACCACCACCACTCCCCCCATATTCCTCCCACATGTTTCTTTCTCCTCTTCTCTCTCTTTCCCATGATTGTATTTTTATTATAGATTTCCACTATCATATAATTCATGAAAATAATTATTTTCTATTATATATATATATATATGAAATTAACCAAAGAATAAGAATAATTTTCTATAAACCTCGTGACAATACACATGAAACCCATGGAATCCTCAAGATCACACGTATCTGAAAGAGATGTCAAAGTTGAAAATTCCTCAAGGGATCATGTTCTGATTATATCTAACTCAACAAGAAATTTTAATCTCAAATATAAATAAATATGTGAGTATATATATATGGGGTTAATGTTCTTGTGAAACCATAGGATATTTATATTTAGATGAAATGTTTTTTAACAATTAAGTTGGTAATCGGATTTTTTGTTGAATGAATGCAATTACCAAAAGAACATAGATATAAATCTAGTGATTTAAAAGATCGAAGCCATCAACGACTAAGTGCGTAATTAATAAGCATTAAGTAAAAATACAATATATATATATATATAGCAATTTTAATTATATCTATTTTTCACGTTGATCATTTATTTAATCTCGAGTTTTTGCATGCATATAATCATTTTATATCATGGAAAAAAACAGTATTTCATTAGAGAAACATCACTAATTATCTAATACAAATTAATACGCTATAAAAACCTAATATTTCCACACAAATATTATTTAATTCGGAAATATCTTGATAAATGGAAAATGTGATTATTAGACTATGTTTGACAATGTGAATCCTTATTCTAGAACCTTTTTTTTTAATTAAAAATCAATTTTCACTATATAAATTTGGATATTTAAACATTTTTTAGACAGTCTTTGAAAATTCTTATAGGTAAAAGTTATTAGTCGATGATAATATATATATATATATATATATATATATATTCGCGATCCTCATAATTAATTAATAATTTGGTATCAATTCATTTTATATTTTATGTATGTGTGTATACTATATTAATCATTAGTAATAATATTTTTTAACGAGATATTTATTAAACAATATATGAAAAGAAATTACAAAGGAAACAAAAATGATTCCTTGGGAATCCCACTTGCTTTGTTAGTTGTATTGGAATCCTAATTCGAGAGCACCACCACCACTCCCCCCATATTCCTCCCACATGTTTCTTTCTCCTCTTCTCTCTCTTTCCCATGATTGTATTTTTATTATAGATTTCCACTATCATATAATTCATGAAAATAATTATTTTCTATTATATATATATATATATGAAATTAACCAAAGAATAAGAATAATTTTCTATAAACCTCGTGACAATACACATGAAACCCATGGAATCCTCAAGATCACACGTATCTGAAAGAGATGTCAAAGTTGAAAATTCCTCAAGGGATCATGTTCTGATTATATCTAACTCAACAAGAAATTTTAATCTCAAATATAAATAAATATGTGAGTATATATATATGGGGTTAATGTTCTTGTGAAACCATAGGATATTTATATTTAGATGAAATGTTTTTTAACAATTAAGTTGGTAATCGGATTTTTTGTTGAATGAATGCAATTACCAAAAGAACATAGATATAAATCTAGTGATTTAAAAGATCGAAGCCATCAACGACTAAGTGCGTAATTAATAAGCATTAAGTAAAAATACAATATATATATATATATAGCAATTTTAATTATATCTATTTTTCACGTTGATCATTTATTTAATCTCGAGTTTTTGCATGCATATAATCATTTTATATCATGGAAAAAAACAGTATTTCATTAGAGAAACATCACTAATTATCTAATACAAATTAATACGCTATAAAAACCTAATATTTCCACACAAATATTATTTAATTCGGAAATATCTTGATAAATGGAAAATGTGATTATTAGACTATGTTTGACAATGTGAATCCTTATTCTAGAACCTTTTTTTTTAATTAAAAATCAATTTTCACTATATAAATTTGGATATTTAAACATTTTTTAGACAGTCTTTGAAAATTCTTATAGGTAAAAGTTATTAGTCGATAAATTTCCTTGTGGTAGATCGTAAGAATTATATTCAACATGTAGCTTTCACATGTGGCATTTCTATTCCTTGTATATCATCGAATGTGAGAAATGCATATATCACCACTATTGTACAGAGTGTGACACCAAATTTCACATTTACAAATTTATTTTTTATTTCCATTTTTATATTGAATCTGACATATTATGTTTCAATCTATTCCAAATAAAATCTGGATAGCTATCTTGATTTCCATGTCTGAGGGTTTCACTGAAGTCATTAGGACAGATATTATACATTCCGGTGTGTGTATATATAGGAGATTTTTTTTTGATACATTGGGGAATTCCTGTGACTATCTACCTTTACATTGGAACCCCTGTCATTTACCATACGAGTTCAGTTGTTACTGCGTATAATATATGTTTTAGAAATCAAGATTATAGCAAATACTGAAAATATATATAGTTAGTGTTTGAAAGGAAACGGTATTGCGACACGGGTGGAGCACTAGGACAGGAAAGCATTTGGTGGTCAATGAGTCAAAACCCCACTTCTTAATTTTTTTTAAAAAAACATAATAAATAACAAAAATATGCAACAAATACACAAAAAAATTTCAAAAATAAAAGAGGGTATGCTTTATTGTTTGAGGAGGAGATCTGCTTGATTTAATTAAACAAATATTTATTTTCCTCTCCTTTTTTTTATTCTTTTTAATATAATTAAATTTACCACATATATAGATATATTTGAGATATATTTTCTATAGTTCCCATCATATCAATTGATTCTAGCAGCATGTCGAGGATTCTCATCGGCAACACATATATGGTATTTCAACGGATAAGGGAACCTTTGTTTTGTTTTTATTTTATATTTTATATTTTGTAGAAAATTGAATATCTACACAATTGGGCATATGGGTACGGAAACAAAGCACATTTCAAAATCATGAGAAAAAAAATAATACTCAAACGTTATTTCCGAAACTAATGGCATATATAATGTATGGATGTATTTAATATATATACACATATAATATGTATATGTATGTGTGTGTGTGTGTGTGTGTGTTTTCTGATTCATCACCTACCATTTGATACCGTGTATATATACATATATAATATGTATACATACACATATAATGCAAAAAAAACGTGTTAACTATTGTATGAAAATCAGTACAAATGAATATTACTTTTGCTTATGAATTTTAAAATTCAAATTCTTTTTGATAACACAAAGATTTTTGAATTGAAACCAATGAATGGTAAATATTTTCGAACAAATAATATGGCTATTAATATTAATATATATATATATATATATATATAAAATAAAGAGTGATGTTTTAATTTTACTAATTCATATCCGCATTATAATATTACAAGATACGTAGACATGATTGAGTGAACAAAAAATATAATGGCGTGTGCATCTCTTTTTATCCAACTTTTCTACGACTATAAGAAGAGGCATTTCCCATTTGGTTTTCCCTGCCCCAAGCAAGTAGAGCTCTTTACTCACCAAACATCTCTCATCTAGAGAGAGAAAGAGAGAGATACATATACATAGAGAGAAACAATATCTATATATACATACATACGTATATATAGTTTGAAACGAATTGCTTTGTATATCTGTAGAGAGAAGAGACAGAAGATGATGAAAGGGCAAAGGCAATGTGGGATTAGATGCCAAAGGCTTGAGAAATTGAAGCCAATCTTGGCGATCATATCGCTTCAATTCGGGTACGCAGGCATGTACATAATAACCATGGTTTCCTTCAAGCATGGCATGAACCATTGGGTCCTCGCCACTTATCGTCACGTCGTCGCAACAGTTGTCATGACCCCATTCGCCCTCGTTATCGAAAGGTAAGCCCTATGGAACAATTAGGGCAAAATTATAAACTATGATTCATGCATGTAACATATATATATATATATAGGATATGTATGTAATTAATGGGTTTGTTGTATGTGTTTTTTGCAGGAAAATCAGGCCAAAGATGACACTCCCGATATTCCTTAGGATCCTTGCCCTTGGACTCCTTGAGTAATAACTGATACTTCTTTTCTTTGGTTACGTATATATTCAATTATCAACGACCATGCATGCATGTCCGATAAATAATCTTTTTGGCACCGGTCAAATAGGGTAACATAGGTTTTATATCGGTTTTCATAATTTATTTTCCTTTTTTTTTGTTCTCTTAAATTTTTCAGTTATTTTTTTTTTATTAAGTTCGAATGCAATTAAGTTTTATAATTCATTTTTAAGTGGGATTTATTTTTTGGTTCCATGCAGCTATGATATTGGATTCAACGTGATTTTACATATCCGAACCCAGATATCGATCGCTAGTGGCACAGATATTCTTAGTATAATGTCACGCAACATCTTTTTATCACGACACTGATATAATAAGCTCTCGTATTACGTTTTCCTTTCCTTTTACAAAAGAGAAAAAAAAAGGCATGTCAATGTCATAGGCTCATAGTTATAACAAAAGGTGTCGACACAAACATACAAACAGAAAAAATAAAAGTTCAAATTAATTTTTTTTAAGAAAATTTTTAAAAAAAATAACCAAAGTTTGGAAATTGCGATGTGGGTATGATGTGCCAGGCCGGTCATGGACCAGAACTTATACTACATGGGGATGAAAGCCACGTCAGCAACGTACACTTCTGCTTTTGTGAATGCTCTTCCTGCCATCACCTTCATAATGGCCGTCATTTTCAGGTCTTTTAACACTACAAATAATTATAAAAAGTTTAATCAAACCAATTAAGTACCAATTCAGTTGTAGTTATCCCGTGATGATGATGATGATGATGATGATGATGATGATGGGTTATAGGTTAGAGACCGTGAACATGAAGAAGATACACAGCCTTGCAAAGGTTGTCGGGACGGCTATAACGGTGGGAGGAGCCATGGTGATGACACTTTACAAGGGTCCGGCCATTCAGCTCGTTAAATCGGCGGCTCACTCCCTTCATCAAGGAGGAGCCGCCGATACCACGGATCAACACTGGGTCACCGGAACCCTAATGGTCATCGGCAGTATTGTTAGTTGGGCCGGTTTCTTCATCTTGCAAGTACGTCTTTCTTTACACTCACATATATATATACAGCACACATTACAAAAGAAAAGTCTTAGCATATTTTTTAACACGAAATAGTTAAAAAAGATTATTAATAAATATATTGACATTTTCCCAATTAATACATCAATTAAAAAAAATCCATATAAATATACTAATTTTCAAAATATAATCCGGTTTTTGCTAAAATAATAATAACTGTAAACGATTATTGGTAAAATTTTATATTCGAAAATAATTGAGTTAAACGACAGTTGATCTATATTTTTTGAAGTTAAAATCAGTTATATTTCTGAGTACCCACTACTTCAATATATAAATCCGTGAGTAAATATATGTTTATATATTTACATAACGGTTTCAAATAATTGATATATTTGTAAGGTAGAAAAAATAAGTATTTGTTTATTTTTATTTTTAAAAATGTTTTATATTTTATTTTTACGTAGCTGTGCATTTCTCTGATTTTTTGTAAATTTTTTTTGCAGTCATTCACATTGAAAGAATATCCGGCGGAATTATCGTTGGTTGCGTGGATTTGCTTCATGGGAACGATTCTAAACGCCGTCGTTTCGCTCGTCATGGTGCGTGACATCAGCGCGTGGAAAGTCGGCATGGACTCTGGGACTCTCGCCGCCGTTTACTCCGTAAGGAACCGCAACTAAAGATGTTAATCACTCGATTAATTAGCAATTAATCGCGTGATTAAGTACTAATTAATCGCTTGAACTACTAATCAGGGAGTGGTTTGTTCGGGGATCGCGTATTACGTACAAAGCATAGTGATTAAGGAACGTGGACCTGTTTTTACGACGTCGTTTAGTCCCATGTGCATGATCATCACAGCTTTCCTTGGCGCTTTGGTTCTCGCCGAGACAATCCACCTCGGAAGGTACACTTAAATAATATATTCTTTTATATAAATAAATTACTCAATGTTGCAATTAAAACACAAAAACAACATTAACAGTAAATAAAAAACACAGAAAAAACAATTAAAATACTGGTTTTGAAAATTATTTTATTTCTAAACAATTATAATTCTCAATACCGTGAGTTTTCTTTGACTTTTAGAGGTTAAAATTCCAGTAATATAGTTAATATTAAAAAAACTGATGCTCGAATTAGATATTTAAATTGTTCACTCTATTAGGAAGCCGTATTTCTGTACTTTTTTACCACTTTTTCGAACGATTTATAATTTTTTCGAAATTTTGTTTCCTGAATTGGGTTTTTTTGTTATTTGTTCTAAGTTTTAGATACAATTGTAATTATGCAGTATAATCGGGGCGGTTTTCATAGTTTTCGGACTATATTTCGTCGTGTGGGGAAAGAGCAAGGACAACGTGAATTCGGCCGAGGAAAAAATGGCTATCCAGGAGCTTCCGATCACGAATTCAGTCAAACAAACTAACGGCGCTGATGTCACCAGTGCACCGGCTTACGGTGGAACCAACAGTACCTGATTCCAGCCTATCAATTCCCAACCGTGATCTCAAATTTTGAAGACCAAAAGAAATTTCCAAGCGGGGAATTTGGGTGGTCTTTTATGATTTTATGTTTACATTTCCAAGCTCTCTTCTGTTGACCGGTGATATAAGTATACATATGTATCTGTGTGTTCTTAGTCCTCTTTGTTAATGTATTTTGAAATTTCAAGGCAAATGGAAATCAAATACGATACGAAACATGAAATAATCACATTCAAAACCTCAATACAAATAATATATAAGTCGAAATCAAATACAATCAAGTATACCATGAAATGCAATATATTAAATTCTTATCGTAATTTTATATTTTTATAAAATCACAACATCGTTAGCTTGCGAGTTTGTTCTATTCGGACTCAGTAGAACAAACTCGCGATTCTATCTAGAACGAGATGAATTAGAGAATGGAGTGGAGCCAAAAATCTTTTTACGTGAGCAGTAAATATTATACCCAAGTAATAATACAAGAACTATCGGAAAAAGATCAAATTGTTATTAAAGAAAACGGAGTGTCTAGATTTAGAATATGATACAAAATTTAGGGGTTGTTAGCTAATTATGGAATTCTTTAAAAAATAAACTAATCGAAGATTCGAAATAATAATTAATTGCAATTCCAAATCTGCACGTGGGGAAAAAATGTGAGGAGAAGCTTTTGGTTTAGTCTGGGGCGAATAATAAAAGGAAAGGGAGAGAGAGGGGACAACTGACGATTCACGATTGGGCCTCTAGTAGTCGTTGCTGTCTGGATCTCTCCCTCCCTCTCCTTCGCCGGAAAAAATGGTGATGTGGGTATTCGGGTACGGATCTCTGATATGGAAACAAGGGTTTCCCTTCGACGAATGCCTCCCCGGTTTCATCACTGGCTATCGCCGCGTCTTCTACCAAGGTCTGTCTCTCGCTCTCTCTCTCGAGTGTTGTTGTGCGTTCCGATTATCTAATTGGTGATAAAGCTGTGTGTATGTGTGCGAGTGTGGACAGGCAGTACGGATCATAGAGGAACTCCGGAGTTTCCGGGAAGAACAGTCACACTAGAGCCTGCAGATGGGGAAGTGTGTGTATGTCTCTTCTTTTCCGCTGTTTCATTTCTCACATTCTCTCTTGGATTCCATTTTTCTTATTGTAGATTCCACGTGTTCGATTGCTTTGTCCCTTGATTAGAAGATAGTGGCAGTAACAGAAAGCTAAAGGAATGACTTTTAGGATTTTGTGTCTCTAGTATGAATATGGGTCGGAGCCAATGCATTACCAGAGCTGTACCATAGTAACCCTAGGCTTCTCAGATGTTCATTGGGTGAACATTGATCATACGCAAACCAAATTCATGTATATTCAATGGTTGCATCATGTCTGTATTGGTGTAGTTTGATCGCTTCTTGTTGTAATGGATATTTTTCAGCTGGTTTTGCTCACGAAGACATTTTAGAACTCTCTTTCCAAGTTTCTACTCTTAGGTTTTGTTGTCAAGTTTTGATGTTCCTTGATAATAATAGTGTGTATGTTCAATTTTAGCCTGGTGATCTTCATAGAGACTGCACTAGAGACTTCTAGTCCGATCATTCGTAACGGTGTTTCTGTTGCTACATCTGAGTTTCATGATGTTTTATTCGGCTAAGCATATCACGGATAGGTTAAGGGGCATGGTATCAAAGAATTACAGCTTGTGGGGGATGATTGTGTAAAAGAATATGAATTCAGACATTGTTTGTTCTTTCAATGATTACAGTGGGGAGTCGCATACAAGATAACCAAGGAGAAAGACAAGAAAGATGCCCTAGATGTATGTATTCTTGGCATCTTCTTCATTCATTTGATTTTTTCTTCTTCTCAGTTTTGATTTATGAATGTTGGTCACGGATTTTGTCTGTCAGTATCTGGAAGTGAGGGAGAAGCAATACGACAAGAAAGTGTATCTTGATCTCTTCACTGTGAGTTATTTCTGTTTGATCTCCAGAGCAATTTCCTGGAATTAACTGTGATGTTTACAAGCTAATTTGTTTTCAGGATCCTAATGCTTCAGAACCGGCTGTCTCGGGAATGTTGGTGTAAGAACACAGAAGAAATCATTATATCGTATCACCATATATATATATATATATATATATCACCAACTGATATAGTTCTTGCCATTAACCTCGATACATCTTTCGGTTTTTCTTTAGGTACATAGCTTCTTCAGACAAGAAGAGCAACAAGAACTACTTGGGACCAGCACCTCTTGAGGACATTGCCAAGTATGTTCTTGATAACTCTGCATTTTAGTTACTGAACGGGCTCGTTCTATAAGATAAGAAGCTTTCTCGTGTTCTTTGGATTTCATATTCGTGCAGACAGATAATAAAATCCGAAGGCCCCTCGGGACCTAACAGAGACTATCTGTTTCACCTGGAGAAGGCTCTTCTTCAACTGGGTAAAAGCTTTTTCCTTTTCCTTTTTCTTTTCACATCAGACGCATCTGTTTCATGTTCTTCAGCTTGAGCTGAGAAATTGCTCGCTTCGATTTTGTTTTTTCTCGAAAGGGTTTGAAGATAAACATGTGATGGATCTTGCAAACGAAGTTAGACGCATTCTTTCGGGGAGCACGGAATGGCCAGCCGCCGCGGATGCCTCTTGATGCGAGCATCTGAAATATGCCAAGTGGTCAGAGATGATATTGCATTCTTAGCACTGAATCATTGTTATCGCTATTCATTTTCATGCCTTAACAAAAAGGTCAATGATAAAGGCATTGAATGCGGAGGATAAGGTTGGGTTCGTGTATCGGCCATCGGATACTCAAATACAAATAAATGTATGGTATAGCGCTTGGATTACCAAATCCGTTTATTCTGAAAATTGATAGCTTACTGTTTTGCAATATACACATAAATACATATCTTTTATTATTCTTCTGCATTTATCAAAATTTTTTTTCCTCTTTCATTCATCTTTTACATCATAAAATATTTTTAAAAATTATTCTCTAATCATGTATATTATTTTTCTAAAGTTACCCATTATTATTAACTGACACGAAATATAAAAAAATATATATCCTGTTATTTTGTTTTAGGAATTTTTCTATATATATTTGAGAATGATACTATTCATTAGATGGTTAAGAACAGAATAATCAAACCAATCCTAAACAAATGACACATCAATAATCGAACTAAAATCAATATAAAAATCGAATGGTTATTACTTTTTTTAAAATTCAAAAATTGAACTAAATCTTAAACGAATAACAAAATAATAAAAAAATAATGTTTTTTTAAAATGAATATTTTTGTAAATAAAAAATGAAATCTAATTGAATCTAAATTCGAACCGAATATGGTGGAACCGAACCGAAACAAAATTCAACAAAAACCTAACAATTATAGTTTTTCAAAATTAAAATAACCGATCCCAAATAGAATCAAACCGAACCCATACCAAAAACCGTATAAGTTATCCTTTTTTTATATATGTTCATAAGATTTTTTCTAATTATTATTATTATTATACACTTAGACATAACAAATCATATATAAACTAATTAATTTTATATAAATTATCCACATTTCCTATTGTTTTTTCTTTGAGATTTTTTTTTAATTAGAGAACACGATATTTGTTTTTTATATTTTTTTAAAATTTTAAAAGTGTAAAAAATTTCATATAATATATGAAATATTTTTATATAAATACATTAACTATTAAAAATTTTGATATAAGTTTTAAAAAAAATTCATATAACTTTTCAAAATAGTATTGAAATATTTATATTTAAAAATTGATTGATTTTATTTAAATATTCAAATGAAAATCTTATATATGTCAATTTTGATTTATAAATTTGATAGTATAGAAATATTTATATTTAAAAATCTTATATTTTAATCATTTATGTTTTTGTATAGAAGATTTTAATAATATGTGGTACTAATTGTAGTTTATAACTTTATATGGTCACAAATACGAATTTATACGGTCGCAAAATAAGGGGTTTAATAGGTATATAATTAAAAATAACAGGGTGTTTTTGCAAAATTAACGACTAACAAAAGTTAAAAATCTTCACATTCCGCACATCCATCTTCTTCTCCACCGCCGCCGGAGAACTGCCAGAGCCAACTCAGCCAAGGTAAGCTTTCTTCTTTGTATTCTCTCCTCCTCCTCCGTCGCCACCTTTCTTCCGCTCCGTCAGGTCTTCTGCTCAATATCCCTTCCATTAGGATGGACATTTTTACCGAGATCCGCGGGTTTTCGGATATCCTATCTTACGGATACCCGAGAATCATTACTCGTGAATTAATGAGACATAGGTCGGATTTTGTGAGACAAAAAAACTCGGGTTCAGGTTCGGTTCGAGTTTTGATATCTCGTCACGGGTTATCTCACGAGTACCCAATAAAATAAACAAACTATAAAAATACCCTTAATTTTTAATACTCTTACGAAAATACCCTTCTTTACTAAACCTGATTCACTCTAACCCTATCTCATTTTCTATTCTCTCTCATTTTGTGGCCGCCTCTCTGCAGAAGAAAAGTCGACATCTCTGTCGTCGTTCGATCTTCGCTGTGCTGCCTTGCGAGTCTTCACCGTGCTCTCTTTCAGCTCGGATTCGCCGTGCTCTTCCCCAGTTTTGTCGCTGCGGTAAGTTTTCTCTTTGTTCTTCCTTGTTCGCCGTGTTCGACCGAGCTTGCTCTGCCGTGAGGGAAGAGTTCGGATCCGTCGTGAGACCGCCGGCCTTGCTCTGCCTTTCCATTCGATCTGTCATGTAGAGTCAACTTTTTCCACTAGTCCGACAAACCTCCCTCTTGAAAGCTTTGATTGGAGTGATCTCAAACAGGCACACCAAAAAGGATCTTTTATCCTCCACGCAATTTGCGTCTCAATGTGTCTTTGGTTCTGTCCTCTTGTTTGTGTATTTCTATTTAGGGATTGACAGATTTTTTTTTTTTTTTGACAATGTATTACCACATGAAAAATCTAAACCTTGTTCATATCAAAAGGAATGGCTGGTAAATGCTCAGATCAAATGGTTTAGAGAACAATGGAGATATTCTGTACAGGTTATGAGTTTTAATTATACACGGGTTCAGGTACGGGTACCCGGTCTCGTGCTCCGGGTTTCGTGACATAAAAACCGAGATATTCCAATAAAAAACTCGACGAGATCGAGACCGAGATAAAGACGTTTGGGTACCCACCCGTGCCCGCCCCTAGTGAGGATTACCACCTCTCCTTTTACCGCGGGGAAGAGTTTCGCTCGACGGTGGAGAAAATTTGCGCCATATGAGCATATGATTTCCAAATGTTGTTCTTTCCGGATCTGAATTCGTATTATATGCACAATCAGGGTCGTGTTTGGATGGGCGTGACGTATCTAGGGTTTCCAGACAAACGGATTTGTTCGACATTTTTGTGTCTAACTTTTTAGATGTTCCGAGCTGTGTGATTAATTGGTGGATTCAGCTTTGGGTGACTAAATCAGTGATTCAGTGTGTTGTAGATGGATTTGAACTCGAGGAATTTCGCTGAACTCTTGACCAAAATCGAAGCCGAAGCTGATGATTTCTTACTTGCGCGTAGTCAGGTTCTCGCAAAAATCTTCCTTGCATATTGTTTTGTGGGTGTATAATAACGTTCTCGATGCCAATGTTCGTTGTTCTGAACGAAAAGCTTTTTGTGAAAGTCAAAAGTTTTGGAGCTAGTTCATCGCTCTCAACTCCATGTCTTCCAGAGCATATACGATGTAACTGATAGAAAGTCAAAGTAACGGCAACGGGAAACTTTCTCAGATAGTCTAATAGAGAATTTGCATGATTTGGATTCCAAGATAAAGTTTTGAGGGCACAATTCACAATCATAATCATAATAATAACAAATGCTAATTATTCCAAAAACCATAAAACAAAAAAAAGTTCAATTGGCTTTTCACCTTTTCTGGCCGCATAAAGACCGGGCGGCTTGAACGGCAAAGTAGGTGAGGATGATGTCCGCACCAGCTCGGCGTAGGCACATCAACGACTCCATCATCACCCTCTCCTCGTCGATCATCTTCAGCACTCCCGCTGCCTTTATCATCGAATACTCTCCTGACACCTGTCGTTTTTACGAAATTCGTCAATGGATTTGGCAACAAGGACACGCAAACGAAAAACTCAGCAATGGAGCGGTGCGAGTACTTGGTATGCAGCAATGGGTAATGGAGATTTCTCCCTGAGAAGCCGTATGATATCCAGATATGGAAGACCAGGCTTCACCTGCGATCATTCCACAAGCTTTTTTAAGATCAATTCAAACCCCATAATTCTTCTACCAATGCCTTAGACTGAAGACTTACCAGGAGAATATCAGCTCCTTCAGCCTCATCTTCGCGTGCCTCGACCAATGCCTCTCTGTAATTTGCTGGGTTCATCTGATAACTATCCGTTCACCGGGGCAAAACGATCATACAAAGTTAGGCCGGGAAAAAAAGGGTATCTTTATACGAGGGTTATCGGTTGTTTACGTTTTCTTGTCCCCAAAACGCGGGTTTGAGTCGAGAGCTTCACGGAAAGGGCCATAGAATGAACTTGCATACCTATCAGGCATAGGAATTAGCCATAAAAAGAAATGAATGAACAATGCTTCTAATAAAAACGCGAAATCCTTGTTATTACTTTGCCGTGTATGACATGATGGAAACATGTTGAAAGCCCTCCGCATCCAAGGCTGCACGAATTGCGCCTACTCGCCCATCCATCATGTCGCTCGGACTAACAACATCTGCACCGGCTCGGGCCTGTGGGATTACATTATCTCCAAAAGAAGTATCAGAAAAAGTTGAAATATTTTGATTCTTCGCGAGAAATATTTTGAGGTTTACCTGGGAAACAGCTTGTTTACACAACTGGTGCACCGTTTCGTCGTTCATTATCACGCCTACAACCGAAACAAAATTGCAAGCATCAGTATTCATACGATTATTTCCACACACGCAATCTTGTTTTCTTAAAAAGAATTACACTGAAAAGATTAATGTGCAGAGATTTCTTACCATCTTCTCTGACTATTCCATCGTGCCCATCGGAAG